CCAGCCTCTTGTGTTCGCCTGTCTTTTGTGATCGCCGTCCTTGGCTTTTTTCCCTTTCGAATCCAGTAACTGATGGTAGCCATGTTTGCATACTGGTTTGCCGATGATAGGTTCGTCTGTCGCATCGTTTTACCGACTCATTTGAAGTAGCCGCTCCTGAGAGGACCTCTCGGCTTCTTTTTCTCTTCTGTTGTGATACTTTCACACTGCATATTCAAATAAATGATGAAACTTTCGCCGTTGACTGTTCCTTTGTAGAATAGGGGACACGTTCCACTTGCACTCAGAACCACAGGACTTACTAAATGTCATATGGCCTGCACAATGACTAGCAGGGGCCAACCGATACAGATCAGTGATTTTATCCTCCCTCAGGAATGTGGTACCAGTTTACCAGTCCAAGAGGATTGAAGGTTTGGTTGCTTTGGAGGGGAGCGGCTTTGGGACCACTAATTAGGCCACTTGCTACTGCGCCACCTCTATTTCACCCCATTTATCTGGAATTCATGTTTTCTTACTTTTACTGTTGATATTATTCCGTGCGCAGCAGACGTACAGGGAAATGGTTGCGCTCACAAGGCATATGTACATTTGGGGAACCGTATCCGGGAGATGGGCAAGAGAATCGTAAACTGCCGCTTCGTCGCGCGCGGCAATGGCGCGACATTTCCTTAATTTGCACTATCCTTTCGATTGGAGCATCGGATTTCATGTAGACAAGGACATGGTAGACATTTATGTCTATTTTTGGTCATACATTGTCTATTCTCGACCAATACCACCTGAAATAGTCTTCATTAGCGGGTGCGACGTCGCACGCGATGCCCTCTGGCGCGGCGAATTACGATTCTTTTGCCACATACCCACCGTATCTTCTACGAAGCGTCTAAGCCTCCCCCTTCAAGACCGGTTACTTGAAATAAGACCCTGGCAGAACTGGCTCATACACCGGCTGACAACCTCCTATCATTGTATAGGAAATTTTCTCAAAGAGAACTATTGGAAACTATGGCAAAGGTGGTGTAATGGCTCGTAGCACGCTGCGCAGTCCGGGAGTCAAATACCGGATCGGCTCCCCCTAAGGCTAACTGAGCCTCCTACCTACCTGAGACGGTGAATTGGTACTCGATTTTGGAAGGGGTCGTGGACGATAGACTAGTGACCTGTGAAGCGCCTGGCTCTCGCGAGTCATTGTATAGACCACATTGCCTTCGATAAGCGACTAAAATCCTGAATGGAAGTAGAATGCGTGACGTATACCGAAGGATTGCCGAAAGCAACAAGCTTATTCTTTCATACTTTCCTAAGAGCTTCTATGAATCTACTGGAAATCGCTTCCGTTCTATCCCATAGTGATACTTTGAAATCGTTCTCAATTTGTCTTTCTCTTCAACTTATTTGACAAATGGGTCAATAGGCAACTTAGGCAACTTAGGGGCGACCAAAAGATTGAATCTTAAAATGAGATCTCGAGGAGACCTCGGCGTAGCAGGCGTAGAAGACCACTGAACCGAATTCCCTATCGCTCATAGCTCAACAGGACCATCAATCGTAAGCCTTGTAGG